TTGAAAATAAATATTTCAGAGGAAAAACCATGGTTCTGTCAAGAGTTGGACTGTATAAACGAACGGCTATCGAGATTAAGATTCATTTTTAAATGCGGTATAGGTTTTTTCAGCTATGAGAAATGGTTATTCCTGTTGTAAAACACAACCTTGGTTACAACACAGAGTTTACTCTTTGAAATAAATAAAAATATATTTTTAAAAAATAAATAAATAACAGGGAAAATAAAAATCTAAGATTTCCAAAATGTGATTTTCAAATTATTATCTTGCATTAACACTTTTTATAACTGGTTTGAAAGGAAAAAAATGGATTTCAGTCTTTCATCCTCCATATGCCAAGCACAGGGCCTACCCAAGTAGACACAGGAGGTTCCTCATCCCAAATCACTAGAAATTATTATAACCTTGGAGCATGCTGAAGTAATCACACTGAGTTTATACTGAATCTTTCATGATACAAATGTAAATGGATAATTAAAACTTTTCATTTGCAGAACTCCAATTGATACTAGTTTACCTTTGAGTTTTCATAATATGCCAGGAAATTAACACCTTGAAGATAAAATATCATATAGATATAAAAATATGTGCAGGTCTTTTCCCACTCAAGATAACAGTATCTAATATCCAGGGAACTTGATCAGCTTTTAATAAATAAAACCAATTAATATTCTCTTAAAATATAATTATTTAGCCCAGTCAGGGTGGCTCAGGGGTTGAACATCAACCTATGAAACAGGAGGTCAGGATCAATTCCCAGTTAGGGCACACGCCTAGGTTGTGGGGTCAATCTCCAGTGGGAAGCGTGCAGGAGGCACCTGATCAATGATTCTCTCTCATCACTGATGTTTCTATCTCTCCCTCTCTCTTCCTCTCTGAAATCAATAAAAATAAAGAAAAATCACACAATTATTTAACTCCTTTCCTGAAAATTCTCTATTGAAAAGTACAGTGCAGACCTAGAAAAAGAGAAAGACCAGAGCAAAAATTAAGGAATGAAATGGCAAATTGAGTAGTTCACAAGTCAAAGAACTCTAGTTTTAAAAATGAAAGGTCATTTTTTAAAAAAACTGGCATCTGGCTAATTTCTGTAACAGTTAATGCTTTAATCAATGATTTTGTTGGGAATTGTCACCATGTATGTGTATATAAAATGAGGTAAAAATACAATCTAATAAACAGCTAAACCATACTGGCGCAAGTCCCCGCCCCCGTCCCCGCCCACCAGCTCCTGCCTGCGCATGCCTCCATCAGGAGTGGCCTCCCCCTCTGAGGCAGCATTACTTAAGCCCTGGGCAGGCTTGCATGCACCTCTGCTGGGGGCAGAAGTCCCTGCCACCATCCTCGCCCACCAGCTCCTGTGAGCGTGCAACCTGTTGACGGGTTGTGACTGGGACACCGTTAGAACCAATTAGCATATTACCTCTTTATTGTATAGATAGATTATATTTTCAATATTGGTTTCAATATGAGGAACTCCTTGCCCTAGTCAATTTGGCTCAGTGGATAGAGTGTCGGCCTGCAGACCAAAGGGTCCCAGGTTTAATTCTGGTCAGGGGCACATACCTCAGTTGCAGACTCCTCCCCAGCCTGGGCCCTGGTCAGGCTCATGCAGGAGGCAACCAATTCTCACATTGATGTTGCTCTCTGTCTTGCCTTCTCTCTTCCACTTTGTCTAAAAATCAATGGAAAAATAATCCTTGGTGAGAATTAAAAATATATATATTCTCTTTCTTCATTGACCAAGGCAGCTGAAAGTGTTTCTGAAACAATCTATAGAAATATAATACAAAATAAGCTAGAGTCACTAATATTTCTATTTTCAAATCAAAATACTTCAAACTAGAGTCATTTTCTCATCCCACCAGCTGTTGCTCTTATATTCACTACTAGGGGCCCAATGAACAAATTTGTGCACCTTGAAAGGAACTGTGGGCCATGAGGCTGCAGTGGGTACAGGGTTGGGTCTCGGCCCATCCTCTGTGCCCTGCCCAGCCCCTCCACTGTGGCCCCCTGTCTGCTGGCAATCCTGTTCCCACTGCCACCACTCCCATGTGCTCACAGTGCAGAGCAATTGGGGCCTATGCCAGCAGCGGATGTGAAAGGGGCCAGCACTGTCAACGGGTGCAAGCAGTCAGTGGGACCATGGCAAGTGGGAGCAAAGAATTTTCAGTTATCACCAGAGGCTCACCCCGATGACAGCAACCAGCACCCCACCTTGGCCTGGCACCCCCACTCACCTGCTCCACCATCCTGCCATAGTCAATACCCACCATGTTCTGTGCATGCCCCCTGGTGGTCAGCACATGTCCTAGCAACAGGTTGTTCAGTTGGTTGTTCAGTTGTTCCACTGTTTGGTATATTTACATAATAGGGTTTTATATAGATAGATAGATATAGAGAGATAGATTGCAACTAATGACACTTAGTAATTTAACTGGCCACTCCAGAAGTACAGGTATCATTCTTAGCACCCACATCCCTTTGGGCAGGACCATATCTGGTCACTAAAGCTCACCAATTTTATTTACAAAATAGCAACTAAGTCCATGTCCCATCTCCTCTTCTAGTGCAAGAGTTCCAACCCTCATTAACTTTCTCCTTGATTATTGTTAACAGTTTATCTTGGTCTCCTCTTTCTACATGACTCCCCACTTGGCTCCAGAATTATGTTATTGAGACATGGACTGGTCATATCACATAGATATCTAAAAACTTTCCATGCCATTGCCTATAGAAAAACATTATTTCTAACATTTTACAAAGACAAAATAAGTCCCTTAGTATTTGGTACCACACTCCCTGCCTTCCATGGCTTTCACAGACATCTTACTATCCAGAGAAGTTTTCCACATATTGATATGCTCCTGTCACGCAGTGTGTACATTCCATATGCCTCTCTTTCTGGTACATTTCTAGGCATCCTTCAAAACCTACTTTATGTAAAGATGTTTATAACCTCTATCTCAAAAGGAAACAAATTGCCTAATCCTTGGTGTTCCCACAGGACATTTTTAGGTCTCTTTTTAAAAACTAACTAGAGGCCCAGTGCACGAAATTCGTGCATGGGTAGGAACCCTAGTGGCTGCCGGCCGCAGCCTCCCTTCCCCAGCTGCCAGCTGCTGGCCGAAGTCTTCCTTTGTTCCACACCACGCATGTGGCTCACGAGCCGCAGTTTGCCAACCACTGCCCTATGGGACACTTTGCATATTAGGCTTTTATATATATAGATATATATATATAGATTAGTAATGACCCAGTCTCTCACTAAACTCCAAGCTCCATGAGACTAGGGTCTCTGTCTTACTCCTCCCTTTACCTCCTTCCCTTAAAAATGTGTTACACAAATAAATAGACAATAAATACTTATGGAGTGAGTGAATAATCATTAATGACATCAAAGGATCCCATGTGGTTTTGAGGTTGGATCTACAGTATTTAATAGACAACAGATAGAGATATGGAGCATCAGGGAGTGAAGTTCCCATGGGAAGTATTAGAACAAAGTTTACACCTTCCTAGCTATATCCCCAAATCTGAATAGCTAGAATTCTATGAACTACTATTAAAATGAGACCTAGAGTGTCTAAAATAAAACTTTTTTTTGTTTATTTATTTAGCAATCATTTTTGGAATACTATTGACACTCTACCTTTCATGGGTCAGGGACTTAATGATTAAGGACTCTTTTGATTATTATTTCATAGATACCAATGGTTATAGTATGCATTTGGGTTTATTCAGTATCCTTTTTATCATTCTTTTTTTAATGTCTTATATGGGAATATTCTGTCATTTGTGAACAGCTCAGATCTTTATCCTGTTCAATTTTTAGATGTTAGGTGATCCATGAATTTCCCAAATGTTTATATCATTTTTAATTGGAGCTAATTACAAAAATCTAATTTAGTTCTATATATACTCAGCAACTCTGTCCATAAATGTTCCATATTAGGTACTTCCTTAGTAGATTCATTGACATAAGCACTTTTATTTTTGCATTTAATTTCATAGAGCATTAGGGGAAATTGCAGAGTAAAATATGATTTTAGAGCCCAGCAGATGGCAGTGCAGTGCTGGTTTTAAGGTTAAGAACACTAACCCCCCCCCCCCCCCAAATGCTATTGAGTTTAAAGATTTTCAAAATCTTTAAACCATCATTGTTATTCTAATCATAGACAAAAATAATCAGATTATCACACTGCTCTGAAAAATAAAAACATATGTCTTTATCCAGTGAGCATAAAACAACATGTCCTTTTTTTTTTTAGAATAACACCTAAAATGTACAAGCTGATTTCTAGAGTAAGATGAGTTTCTTGCTGCATCTCTATGTGTAGGCATAGAGCAGAGATGAGGGTGAAGGACAGCACAGGCCGAGAGGTGCACATTGATCAGATCCAAGCAAGAGATGGCACAGAACGCTTCGGGGGCATGTCTTTTCTGTTAAGAACCCCTGACCCAGGAAGCAAACAAATTTCGAAGGAAATAGTCATTGGATTTTTTCCACTGCTCCATATAGCACTGTGCTGGGAATTTTAAGTATTGTATTTTACTATAAAATGACTTTCGTTGACAAATTTTGCTCTACAGAATGCAAACCTTGATTTCAGCCACAATATTTTTGAATAATATGTTTATGAGTAAATGAAGTGATTACCAGTAATGCAGATGCTGTGGAAAACATTCCAACGAATTGTCCCATCTAACGTATACAACACTCCTAGGAGGTGTAAACATCAGGGGCCAACTGTCAAAACTGTAGTGTTGATTTATCAAGGTTAAAACAAAATAAACATTCATATTTAACATCTATGAAGAATTTGTTTAATATAAAACTTTAAATTTTTACAAATAATTGATATATTAAATGAAGTTAATATTTCCAGGGGAAATTGAAATATGTGCTTATGAATCAGAATCTAAACAACAAAAATGCATACTAAATATCCAAACACTGTACATTTGGTAAGAAATTAAATCTAATATGTATGCAGTAAATCTACAAACTCAACCTTTTTTCCTAAAGGCAATGTCTCAGTGAAGTGCCCGCCTGGGTCAAGGCTTTGTGCTGATGCTCTAACATGTATCGCAATTGATCTATTTTGTGATGGAGAATTAAACTGCCCAGATGGTTCTGATGAAGACAATAAAACTTGTGGTAAGTAATGTTCCCTCCCTGTTCTCTTCCCCCCTTACTTGATGTAGACCATGTACACATACCGCTGACCTTGGAAATGCCCACACCTGTAGAGAATTTCTATAAGAGTTTATTTGAGCCAAATTGACAACATGCGCAAGGGAGCGAGATCTTAAATGCTCTGGGGATGAGCAAATAGTTCTGCAGTGTCTTTTATGCATTTGAAATGAAGGAGGGAACATAAGGAAGATGGCACGAAAGTTGGAGAAGACAAGCCAGGCATTGATTATAGGATAGTTACTATCATGTGCTCTTGTACTTTAGAAGAAGAGGTTTGAAGGGGAGTCACGTATTCAAAAGAGTGGTCTGAAAGAGGGGCAATTTCAAAGGTCTATTAACTTAGATGCCCAGAAAGTATGGACAGGACTTACTTAAGGCAAAGACAAGCCTTTTACTAAAAAAAGGTATATACCAGGAGTGACTACCCACTGTGACCTGTCCAGGTGTGAATTTATAATCAGATCATCCTGTGTGGTTACTTGCCATAGAACCCCTTTTCTCATCCACAATACATAGACTATGCATATGTATGTAGACCATGTTTATATACATAGATCCTGTGTGCACAAACACACACACACACACACATCCCTCAGATACCAGAAACTACTGTAGAATAAGATTTCCCTATAGCCATGATTATAATTTAACCCAAAATCTAAAACATATTTATACTATTTTCCTAAACTTTATTTTATACAATATTAATATTAATAAAACAGACTTTCATTTGAGGATGATAGAAAGGATGCTGTGGTTAGCAATGCCTGTCATAAGTGGGGCAAAAGAACGGCATTCTTTTCCATCCCGTATTAAACTATTCCAAAGTGATTGTTATGAATTTGAGTGCTTTCCATTTTTTCTTCACCATCATAATGTCAGTCTTCGTTTTCCATTTTAATGGTCCCTAACTCAGTACTTGCCATTCTTTCATTTTGATTGTTGCTTTTATTTGCCTTTTGGCATAGAAACAACAAATAGACCAAAAAAAATGTACTTGAGTTGTAGATCTGTGAATAATGGAAATCAGTTTTGAATAAGATCTTAAAGTCTCATGAATAAAACATCTGTGTTTTATTTGTAAGTGTTGACATCTGTTAATAATAATAACAGTTTCTATGATTAGTAATTAGCACTTAAGTGGTGTGTACTATATGCCAAGCATGGCCCTAAGTGATTTAAACACATTTACTCTTTGACTTATTTTTTCATTGTATAGTTAAGTAATATATACATGAAAGATTACCACATAAGTATAAAATAGATTAATAAGCAAAGTGAAGACCTATTCAAATAATTCTAACTTATCATTGGCTCTTGAGAAATTAAACAGAAAGCATGAATTGAATAATTTTTGGTGTGATTCGTGATCAATGTCAACATTGATCCTGAGAACAGTTAGTCCCTGAAGTGTGTAAAGGCTGTAGTTACTACTTGCTACACTTTGCTATTCTAGTATTTGTTTCACTTTGCTCTTCTTGGGTGATATTAATTGAAGATGAACACTCCAATAACAGCAAAGTTTTAAAAATTACCTGTCCACTTGAAACATACTTTAAAAGACAGGAAATTGGTCTGTTTCCCATCACCAACTCAAAAAAAAAAAGAGGCAACTTGACCAAAGAGGATTCTTTTATTAAGGAATCCTAATTCAAATGTTCTTGGATAAAATTCAAACCTTCAAAGTTTAACTACATACTTTGAAGTGCACTCATAGCATATTGGAAGAAAGTGCAGGCTACAGAATATTTTTAATCTATTTTATATAACTAAGTTACTCAAAGCAGAAGAAAGAAACCTATTTTTTCTTTTGCTCTGGTTTCCAGGCAGTTTTCAAAGCCTTTTCAGGGAGAATATAATACAAGTGTGCCATCATGAGGTAATACAGGTGATGTTGATCTATATTTCAAAAATAATAATGTATGCCAAAGTGAGACACGGGGCTTTAAGCCTGTATAATGATGATCAATAACTTTAAATTGGGGGAAGGAGGGTGAGTGTATATAATCATGAAATGAACCACACCTATAATTTGATCTTTACTGTCATGGAGTTAATAATTTTTATGGTAAATTAATATCAGCGCATATCAAAAAATCACCACAAATGTATCTTATAAGTATAAAATTTGTCCTAAAATAAGTTATAGAGCCATGAATTACTTTTCTGAGCCACTATAAATTCATGGCATGAGCCTCACTCACTATTAGAACTGAATTAATTCCCTAAATTTGTGTTAAGGACCAAGTGCATTATTACTTTTCAGTCTCTTGGAAATTTTGTATTAATTGAACTTCAGCGTCAACTTGTCATTTGTATCACTAACTTTCTTAATCCCCCCAATTCCCATTTTTTATTTTTCTTGATTCTCTTCATTATTTGCATTTTAGCATTGTATTATTGGTAGTATAGTATCTATTTTGGAAAATAAGTATAAAGAATTTATAGATTAGGAATTGCATAAATCAATCAATTAACCTATATTAATCCAACTAGAATTCAGGCATATAAATTGTTTTATTTTTCATTTAATTATTATTATTAATTATTATTATTTATTTATCACTTAATTATGAGCCCAAAAGCAGTGACTTCACCTCAGCATCATATCAGGTAGCATTTCTGCCTGAAAGCCTTTATCCATCAATCTACATTCACAGCAAAATTAATTTAAGGACATTCTTTCTATTTGAAATTGGCCTATACTCTCCCTCTAGTTCTCTTTGTTCCCCAGTTGTGAGCTCTAATTCTAGTTCATGTTACTAAGAGAGTGACATTAATATTGACTTCCCCACACAGCTTCCTCTTTTAGTCTTTAGTTAGGTTTGCACAACTTAGAGCTGACTATAGCTGAACCAAGATTTCTTTAACTTGTTTTTTCCTTCTGATTAGAATCAGGAAAGTTAACTTTTTAGCTGACTCACAGCCTCCAGCCCAATGTTCAGGTCTACTTGGAAGTTGGCAAGTGTCTCCACAAATGGTTTGCATGCTGCTCTGTGTGTGTTCCGCAGACCAGAGTGATGGCCATAGAAACTATCCACCAAAGTTGGACTTGAGCATCCTGGAGAATTCAATGCCTGGCACAACCGTGTAAATACTGAGCCTGCAGAGGGAGCTCTCAGCAGGTCCTAAGAGTCTATACCTTTGTAAATCCCACCCCACCACAGACAAGATTTTGGTAGCTCAAAAGAACTGCTGGTATTACTTGACAGACTCATTTATCTCCCACTCAGAATTTTTTTCTGATACTGCACTGGAAAGCACTTTGCAGTCTAAAAAGTTATTACCCTGAACCCCCAGTAATCCTACTCAGCCACAGCTGCGTTAGACCTGTTTTCCCAAAAGGTTATCTTGCTTCATTGCCGTATGTAAAATTAGGTTCTCCACAAATATCTGAAATTAACTGAGAGAATACATAAGGAAGTCCCTCACACAAACCTCTATCTTGAAATAATATTTTGACATTGTGAGCTTTGCTATGATGAGTAGTTTAATCATATTGCAATTTTATTTTAAATACCATCAAAAATATTCTTCTTCACCTTTATGTACATGCAGGAATTCACCAAAGGCCCTTCAGTGTAAAGTATCCCTCCCCACTAACACTCAGCACTTGCATAGACCACTGGACAGTCAAATTGATCATATTCTTCAGGGCAAACTAAATACTGTGATGCACACTCTTAGCGATTTCAGACAATACTGGGTTATTTGTCATTTACATCACAGTCCCAGGAAGATGGCAGAGGGCTGTGCTCCTAGGTAGGCATTCAGGATGCAGCTCCTCCACTGTCCCCTCTGTCCCAAGGCCTCCCCCTCCACACTCTACAACCTGCTGACAGACAAGGAAGAAGCTACAGAGATCTGTAGAAATCCCATCTGGAAATAAACAGAACCATTTCCACAGTAGTTTATTGATCAGACTCGGTCACGTGAACCCACTGTGGGAGGGGCAGGTCAGTCATGTGCCTAGGAAGGGATTGGAAAAGAGTAGAGCCAACATATAACCATCTCTGCCACCAGGGACATAACTCAACCTTTTGGGAAATTATGAATCCTGTTGTGAGGCACAAAGCTGTTGATTTCTTCCTCAAAATATTTGTAGTGAATGATACAAAGAAGTACTATTATATACCAGCTTCACAAATAGGTTTTATAAGTTCTTAAATTGGTCTTGTTCTGTTCCCTTTTATATTCTTTTTTCTTTTTTTGCTTCCTCCTGTTGGTTATGGATTGCTATTGCAAACGTGATCAATACTTTAGCTTTAAGAACACTGAAAGAGATGGGATTTCCTTTTTATTGTTGACATTATTACAGATACCCCCCACTATTCACCATCTGCCCCCCCCCAGCTCCCGTGCTCCCTTCCCCCACCTTTACCATATTGTTGTCTGTGTCCCTGGGCTATTCATATACACATACATGTTCTTTGGCTAATCTCTTCCAGTCCTCCCCACACTCCTCCCCTCTGACAATTGTCAATCTGTTCCATTTAAACATGCCTGTTTCTATTTTGTTTATCATTTTATTTTGTTCATTACATTCCACATATAAGTGAGATCATATGGTACTTGTCTTTCTCTAACCGGCTTGTTTTGCTTAGCATAATAATCTCCAGGTCTATCCATGTTGTCACAAAGAGATGGAATTCTTTTTAATTCCCCGTTTCTTTCATTTACAATTCACTCCCTGCTTTTCAGCTCAAAAAGTAGGTGTTGTCATCATGATAGCTTTGTATTTTAGGGTTTCAGGCCATATAGCATTATGTGCTCTGGAATAAGGCTGCCTGCTGTGAATTGTCCCTTATAAGCTGGGAGAATTTATGCTAGCTTCTTAACCTTTTGTACCTCAGTTTTCCTACCTTGGACCTCATAAGATTGTTGTGAAGATAACGTTAATGCATATATAATCCTATATAATAAAAGTCTAATATGAAAATTGACCAAACAGTGGAACAACCGGTAGCATGATGCATACTGACCACCAGGGGGCAGACACTTAATGCAGGAGCTGCCCCCTGGTGGTCAGTGTGCTCCATAGGGGGAGTGCCGCTCTGCCAGAAGCATGGCTCATGGCTGGTGAGTGCAGCAGCAGTGGCGGGCTGCAGGTGGGCAGTAAGGAGCAAGGGGTCCCGGACTGTGAGAGCCTCAGACTGTGAGAGGTATGTCTGACTGCCAGCTTACGCTCACAAGCAGCCATCCCCCAAGGGGTCCCAGACTGCGAGAGGGTGCAGGCTGGACTGAGGGGCCCCTCCCCCAGTGCACAAATCTCATGCACCGGGCCTCTAGTGACTTTATAAATGTCTGGCACACAGAAAATGTTTTATATATTCCAGCAGTTATATTTTAGGGCTGGTAGGATTGATCGCCCCACCTCATTAAATACCAAGTATTTACAATAGCAGTGGACTGTCTCTCGTTGCTTATAATCTTGGAGTATATAGATTTCTTGACAAACTGCGATTAAAAATCTCTATAGATCACATAAAATACAAGCAGACAGTATTCTTTCTTTTACGGTCATTGAAAATCAGTTGATTAATTGTCCCAATTATTGGGCATGATTTGTGGTGGGCAGGGTTGAAGGTGAAGATTTCCTATTGTGTCTTGAAAATTATTAAGCTCTGCATTAAAAAGTCACATATTTTACTGTTTATCTTTAAAACATGTAAATTAGCTCTATGTTTATACAAAAGGAGATTTCATTCTCTTAACAAGCCACAATTTTCTCTATTTCTTTTCCTGAGGTCTGTAAGGGCCCGTGCAGAGTTGAATCCTTGCACTTCGGTGGTTATCTTTTCTGTTCTCAGTTTGTTGTTATTTTTTTGTTGTCTTCAGCTTGGAATCAGGCTACCAAGTCATAATCCAATACAATCAATTCCTAGGTTCTTGTTATTAGAAATACTTTTAATCTAAACATTTATTTACCAAAGCATTTTTTATGCTTTATAAAAATTATACCCCAAATTGCTAAAAGTTAACCAAAAACATTTGATTTTTTTACCAAGATTTTTAAATGCTGGTCAATTCTTTAATTCTTTTGTCCATGTAAATTATCTTATATCATATAATAGCTTGCATTTTATGACAACACAGGTGCTACGCAATATTACAATGGGCTTTTCCATCCTTACTTTAGAATTAGCTTATTCAGAACTCAGATTCCAGGGATAGCAATTTAATTTTGTTAACTTTAGTCAATTTCTATAGCCCCCGCCCCAACATAGCTTCGGGCATATGAGGAATTAACAGCATCCCAGAGAAAAAGGGCACATTCTAGGAGTCATTTGAAAATAGCCAGTGGATTTTAAGCGTGAGATCTGATCTCCCATTGCATCATTTCAGTTTTATAAAATAGCCTCACACAGACTCAGTCATGTGTGCTCTATAAAGAGTTCATTAACCTATTTAAATCCCATTTCATTTGGGAAATTCTCCTAAGATTGTTTTTGTCTAACGATTGTCATTTTTGACAGCCACAACTTGTGATGGAAGATTTTTGTTGACCGGATCTTCGGGGTCCTTCGAGGCTACCAACTATCCAAAGCCTTCTAAATCAAGTGCCATTTGCCAGTGGATTATACGGTAATATGCCATCTTCTATTCCCCGTTCTTAAGTCGTAGAGTCACTCTCTGATGCAATAAGTCTTACCACCTTTAGCAATGTATTAATTTTTACAAAAAAATTGTTTTCAATAGCTCTGAAGCAAAGCCTTCCCAACTGATAGTCTGCCTTCTTGTTCTTAATCTTTTAAAAAGGCCTCCTGTCAGCCCAGTGGGCGTGGCTTAGTGATTGAGGTTCGACCCATGAACCAGGAGGTGGTCATGGTTTGATTCTCGGTCCAGGTTGTAGGCTCAGTCTCCAGTGTGGTACGTGCAGGAGGCAGCTGATCAATGATTCTCTCTCATCATTGATGTTTCTTTCTCTTTATCCCTCTCCCTACTTCTCTGAAATTAATTTTAAAGAAATAATAATAAAATACAAAGGCCTCCTGTCTAATAATTAGGCCATCTCATTGGGCCCTGTAGCAAGTTTTTTTCTGCAGTTGCCACAGATCAAGTACTACCAAAATAAATAGCACATGTGTATGTCTGTGTATCACAGGAAATGGTATATCATATCACAGGCATCCTTACGCCAGACCAGTGCCTTTCTCATTATGTCAGCATCTGTATGAAAATCTCCTTTGATGTGACTCAGTCATGGGAGATGAAGAGCTGTATACAGCCTTTTCACTGTCTTGTGAATAATACTTGGGCCAGTTGCTATATATTTAACCTCAAAGCTTATAATTAAATGAGTGGAAAAGGGATCACCTGGAGAAGGCAGGCAGCCGGAAAAGGCAGAACTCTTGAAGGTTCTTGCAAGTTGAAACCAGGCACTGTTAAAAATGCCAACTGCAGGGTTCTGCCCCACACCTGCTGACTCAGAATCTTGATGGGGCCTAAAATCTTCCGTTTTGATACGCATTCCCCAGTGGCTCTGCAGATGGTCTTCCCACCATGTTCTGAGGAACACGGGTTTCAGAGGAGAGGTATGGCAACTGGGCCGGCAAAACCTACTGGGACTTCAGGAGGGAGGCCTCAGCGAAGGAAACCCGAGAGTGGCGCTAGAGCAAGGGGCCCAAATCAGAGGCAAAACCAGTTACTTGCAGTTTAAGGCCAACCCAGGGGCAGTCCCTTGCTAGCCCTGATGTCATGATCATACTGAAACGGTCAGGACTCCAAGAGACAGAAACGATATAGTAACTCGAACAGGAATAAAATAAAGAATTATTTACCATCATAAGAAATTACCTACAGGGGAAAAGGGGAACTCCAAAAATACCAACATAGTAGATAGAGCAGCCACTTAAAAGTACCTCTAGGTTGGTCTACCTCTAGGTCCTCAAAGTACCATTTATAAATGACTATTAGCATTGTTCATAAGTAAAATGAAAAATATTCTATTCCTTACTCTAAAGGTCATCAGAAAGCCTTAGAAAATAATCTTAGATTACGTCTGAAAATGGAAAATGCATGAATCCTCAATGTCTTTATGCTATCTTTCAAGTTTTATTAATGCCAAATAAAAATAATGTAATTGTTACAGCCACTTCTTAATAAAGGTAGGTCAAATTTACAGGGCTTATAAGCAGAGCACTATAAACTTTTTCTATAATAGTAATATCATTTATGCAATAATGACACTGTTAATTAAGGAATTGTATGGTTCTGTTCTTTTTAATTATTTTCCATTACTTAATTCTTTAAAAACTATTTTTAAAAAGTCATCATATGGACTTGCAGTGCCACATATGGACACCGGAGGGAGCAAAAAATTAGAAACTCCTGAAACAAACATGCAAGCCTCTAGGGCTTTTGAATAATCAATCGGTCTTAGAAAAAAAGAAAATTAGAAAATATCTTTAGACAAATGAAAACGAAAGTAGTGTATACTAAAAATTATGAGATGGGTAAAAATCAGTACTAAGTGGAAAGTTTATAACAATAAATGCCTATATTGAGAAAGAACAAAGATCTCAAATGATCAACTTAACTTTATACCTCAAGGAACTGGAAAAAGAACAAATTGAGGCCAGAGTTAGCAGAAGGAAGATATGATTAATATTAGAGAATAAGTAAATTAAAAGTGGAATAGGGAAACAGCTTTAAATAATGACACTGAGGGGTTTTTTAATATTAACAAAATTGACAAACAATTAGCTAGAGTAAGACAAAGAGAATAGTTCAACAAGTAAAATCAAAAATGAAAGAGGGGGGTTACAGCTGATGATGCTACAGAAACTAAGAGAATAATAAGAAACTAGTATAAATAATTATACGCCAACAAATTGGGTAAAGGAAATGGATAAGTTCATACAAACATACACTTCTACCAACACTGAATTATGAAGAAATGCAAAATTTGAACAGACCAATTAAAGGATATTGAATCAGACATAATACATCTAAATTATTCAAACTCCTAGAGAGAGAATGTAGAATAGTGATTGCCAGGGGCTTGGGGAGGGTAAAATGGGGAGTGACTGTTCATTGGGTACAGTTTCAGTCATGCCAGTTGAGAAAGTTCTAGAGATCTGCCACATGACATCATCATAGCTATCCATACCACACCATACACTAAAAATGTTATTAAGAGTGTTGATCTTATGTTGTGTTTACTATGTACAATGAGAAAAATGCATTCGAATTCTAGAATGCATTAAGAGTTGTAACAATTGTTCAGTGTAATAACCTATTTTTTGCTTTTACTTTAGTGTAAAACAAGGACTTTCCATTAAACTGAGCTTCGATTCCTTTAACATATATTATACAGATATATTAAATATCTATGAAGGCGTGGGTTCAAGCAAGATTTTAAGAGGTAAGTTAAAACAAAAATACATACATTATTGGAATGAAAATATGTGAGAAACTGGAGGATGACAAAGCCCATTCATAGGCCTGTCTATATTTCACCCAACTCACTGCTCATTCAATGAACAAAGCCCTATCATCAATGAACTTATTGAAAAAACACTCAGCTGCACTTGTTGAAAATTGAGTTGGTGATATCAGTTGGGCAAAATAAGAGGCTGACCAAAATCTTAAAAACAAAAAGTGAGAAATGAGAAATTCATAAAGGATATGAAAATCACCCAT